CCTTCTTTGGTACTAGAAAGTGAACCCAGGATGTTTGGATTGAACTGCATCCAGGCCTTTTTATTTTTATTTTGTAACAGAGTCTTGCTAAGTCACCAAGTTGCAAAGGCTGGGTTTGAATTTGTGACCCTTCTGCCCCAGCTTCCCATAGTACTGGTAATGTAGGCATGAGCCACCACACCTGGCTAGACATCGTGCTTTTTTTGTTTCACATTTTTTTTCCAGTTTTTTTGGAGACAAGTTCTCACTATGTAGTTCAGACTGGCTTGAAGTTACTAGGCAGCCCAGGTTGGCCTCAGACTTGTGGTGACCCTCCCGCCTCAGCCTCCCAAGTGCTGGGATTATAGGAATGTGCCACCACATCCAGCTTGTTTCAATTATTATACCTTTTTTTTTTTTTTGGTACTGAGGAATCGAACTTGGTTCCTTGTCCTTGCGAGGCAGGCAGCAGAACCACTGAGCTAAATCCCCGGTTGTTTTAGTTTTTTGAGACAGGTTCTCACTACACAGTTCAAACTGATCTTGAACTCACTATGTAGCTGAGGCTGGCCTCGAACTCCCAGTGATCCTGTTGCCTCAGCTTCCCAAATGATGGATTTACAAGTATTTGCCACCACGCCCAGCTAAACCCAATTTTTAGAAAGGAAACTGAAGCTCAGGGAGGTTAAAATCACAGATTTAGTAAGTGGCAGGAGCAGGCTTAAAAATTAGGCCTGTCTGTCTCCAAAGTTAGTGTTACCTTTCCTTGCCACACTGCTTTCCTGTTAATTGATAATTACTCTGTGAGACTCACCATGTAGATAATGGCCTGGCAGATGAGCCAGTGTGGTGCTGACTGATTGGTGCCTGTGCCACCATAAGTAGATTGAATGTCACTGTGTTCTACTGTGGTCTACTTTGTTCTTGACAGAGAGCTAAGCAGTGTGTGTCTATCTACCTATTTGTTGATCGATTTCTCTAAAAACATGTCCTCATTTATCTTGTAGCAGCCTAATGAGATAGAAGTATTTATAGTTATTTTACGGGTGAGGAAAAAATGCCCATCTGTGGGGAGTTGAACAGAGTACAAAGCATTGCAGTGACTGAAAGTTAGTTCAGTCTGATTCTTGAGTTTTCACTCTATCCAGGTAGCACTGCAGCAGAATCAAAGGCAGCTTTGTTTTATTTCGAGCCAGTTCTCACTGGTCTTGTATTCATATGGGTCCTTCCGTTCAGTCCCCAGACTATAATTTAAATTCCTCCCTTGAGACGAATCAAGATGCAAAGTTGAAATAGTGAAGTGGTAAGAATGAGTGACTGTCAAATTGAATGAGTTGCAGTATTAGTAATGAGAAAAAGGCAGGTCATTTGGATTCATTGTTAGGATCGAAGCATGTAGTCACTTTCAAATATTGTTGAGCATTCTAGACATAATAAGGGATAAAATGTTCCTTATGAATTTTTAAAAATGTTGAAATTCTATCAGCTAGTGAAAATACAATGCATATTTATTATTATAAATGAATGGCCGTAAAAGCTTATAATAATACATATAAAATTATTATTAAAATTTATTAGATCATTAAAATATAGGAAAATTAGTTGACAAATAATATAAATAATAAGAGAACTGTGTTAGCTACATTACTTTAAGAACCTTATACTTTTTAGCTCAAAATATTTATTACAATTTAATAAATAATACAGCATTAATTTAACAACTAGTACAAGGCAAAACAATATATATTATATTGCAATTGTATATGTGATTTAATTATACAGTAATGTTTTTATAATTGATGTATTAGCATTTATCACATAAACAAGGTCATCCTTAAGAACTATATTTTTGGAGGATTTTTAAAAACTGAGGTATAACATGCAATAAAGTACATCAATCTTAAGTGTACAGTTCAACGAGTTTTCACATAGAAAACATATTTACACCAACAGTAGAGCATTTCCAACTTCTCAGACTCCCCTACATCTCTTTTCCAAGAATACCTCCCTGAGCTACTCTCTCTTGGCCTGTGTCACCACTGACTGATTACTTTAGAGCTTTTTTTTTCCTTTGTGGTGCTGGGGATCCAACCCAGAGCCTTCTGCAGGTAGGCAAGTGCTCTATTTAAGCCCTTCTTTAGAACAATTTAGTTAGTACAATTTAGTTAACACAATTTAGGTAATGAGTCTTTCAAGAAATGTCCTATTTGGAAATTCATTTCATTTTTTTCTCGGTCTGAGGGATTGAACTCAGGACCTTGTGTTTGCCAGGCAGGCGAGGTGCCGCTGAGCTACATCCCTAGCTCCTCATTTCATTTTTGGAGGATGCATTAAAGGCATGATTTTATCCACTTCAAGATTTTGTGAAGACGATATCTGTCTCCAAAACCATAATATAGATAAGAAAAATCATCAATAAGAATACAAAGAACAGGGGCCGGGGATTTAGCTCAGTGGTTTCGCCACTTGCTGTGCAAGCACAAGGACCCCAGTTCGATCCCCGGCACCAAAAAAAAGAATACAAAGAGCGGTTGGGTTTGTACCTCAATGCTCAATGGGAGAGTACTTGCTTAATATGTCAGGCCCTGCGTTAGATCCCAGCACTGAAGAAAAAAAGAATATGAAGAGTGTTTTAAAAGGAACAAAGTGAAAAAACCCCCAGGTGTCCCGAAGTACTTTTTCCATACACTGTGGTTAAAAATCATCTATTTATAGAAAGACAAATATATAGTATGTTGACCACAGAAGTATAAAATAAATTACAACTTTGGGTAAGGCTTTGTATTCATTTCAGTATCCTAGAAGTCCATTTCATGATAGCAATGCTTCAGGAAAAGGTGATTTTTACATTCAGTCAATTAACAACTGCTCAACTAACTTGCCTCACATTCTGAACAAATCATTCAATGTTCTGCCCTCTTTTCTTTTTATCATCCTTCCCCTGCCCTTCTCCTTTCATCCTCTTAAACCACCTGTCTCACATAGCGGTACTCTTGCCTGCAGGTTTGTCCTTTAGCCCACTCACGAGCATTACTCTAGCAGAACAAGGTCCACAGAGTTATGCATGGGATGTTTGCCTTGGTCTGCTACTTGTCAAAGGCAGATATAGCTACTACCACTACTACTAATTGCCATTGTCCAGTGCCTACCAGCACCTGGGGCTGATCAGAGCCGCAGCAACAGTAGCTCCTTCTTTTACTGGGAATTGAAGCTATCGCCTTTGCATTGAGCTATATCCCCAGGCCTTTTTATTTTTAATTTGAGAGAGGGTCTCGTTAAGTCTCTAGGTTGCCCATGCTGGGGTTGAACTTGTGATCCTCAGCCTCCCTGAGTGCTGGGATTATAGTCATATGCCACCACACCTGTCTCTGACCAGAGCTACTTAAATGTCATTTCTAAATCTCCTATAATCCTGTTTGGTAGGTAATATTATTCCCACTTTGCTTTATGGAACAGACCTGCAGAAAGGTTCAGTAATTAGCTCAAGGTCATGGAGACGAACAACTGCACCAGGATTTCTACTCAATTCTGTCTGGCTCCAATGATCATCTGACTCTGGTTGGGAATAAAGGTTCTGGGATAGGGGAGGGATCAGCAGAGTAGCCCCTCCAACAGGTGTGGGAAGGCCTAACAAGGTGACTGGGTGGGAAGTAGGATGGGCATGGGAGGCAGTACAATTTATTTTGGACTGAGATAAAGGCAGACAGAAGGGGCTGGTGATGGTCAGGGCTACAGGCAATGGGAAGGGGTGTCAGGATTCAGTCAATAAAAAGCCTAAGCTTTTCCAGCTCTACTTACCAGAGGGGAAGATTGTGTCTTCAGCCTAGCGGACAGGGAGAGGGCATTTCTACCTCTCAACCCCTCAGGCCTGGGCAGACTGCCAGTGTGGACAGCCACAGAAGCACTGAGGCAGGGGAGATCATTATCTTGAGGAAGGAAGCTCTGGCAGCCCCACCAGTCTGTTTATGACAGGCAGCCTCTGGGCCACGGAAGTCCCTTAAGGTCAACGGAAATGTGATCTTGGAATAGTGGGATGATGCTAGGACACGCCCCTTACCCTTTGCCTTCAGGCCAAGGGAATCCAGCCAAAATAAGACCTAGGGTCCAGGCCAGAAGAGACGTGGGCTAGAGAAGAGGGAGGGGCAGTCAGGGAGCGAAAGAATGAATTAAGGTTCCCTTTAGGATTAAGGCGCCTCATAAAAAAGTCTTGGCTAGAGAGGTAATGACCTTTATTGCAGCCAACACAGAGTAACTGGCTCTGATGAGCTGTCTGGGTATATTTCGTCATAGGTGAACTCTTCCCTACTTCTCTTGTCCTTGCAATGGACTCTTTCTTGCCCAACTGGTACAGTAGTGTTGTATTTAGATGAAGGCTACTTATTTTCAAGTCCAGATTCTGCTACTGGGCTGTTTAACTGACTTAAGCTTTCTGAAATCCCAAATTCCTCATCCATGAAGAAGATAAGTCATCTCTGTCAAGACTATCTCATCGAGGATTAGAGGACTCATGTGGCTGTGTCATGAAAAACATGAAGTGTTATGTAAATATGATGTGGTCTCTCTCTCTCTCTCTCTCTCTCTCTCTCTTACCACCCCCTTTCTTGCTACCTCTCCCCACAACAGGTTACCTTCCCACATCAGGGCTGGGAAGACCTCTAGTTTAGGAGTGGAATCAGTGCTGTTTATACATTCTACATATACCTTCTCCATTTGTTTCCTCCCTTTGTCATGCTGCCTTGATACGGATGCGATGCTGTGAGTTGGCTTGGAAGAGGTGTTCAAAAACACAGTCCAGGGAAGCCGAGGCTCTGAGCTTGCTCCGCCCCTCTCTTGGGGGATAACCTTGGGAGTGGGGGTGGAAGCAGCAACAAAAAGATGAAAGAGGGGCCGGGGATTTAGCTCAGTGGTTTCGCTGCCTGCTGCACAAGCACAAGGACCTGAGTTTGATCCCCAGTACCAAAAAAAAAAAAAAAAGATGAAAGACATGGGGTCAAGATTTAGCTCAGTGGCACCTTGCCTGCTTCTCGACCACAAGATCCTGAGGACCTGAGTTCGATCCCCAGTGTGGCAAAAAAAAAAAAGAGAGAGAGAGATGAAAGACAATATTTTTCTCTAGAGCTCAGCCCACCATGTCAGCATCAGCTCTGCCCTGGCCTTTCCAAAGAACTGAACAAGGAAGGGTTCAAGAGAAAAGAGAAAGAGTATGCTGTGGGTGGAGGAAGAGGGATGGATGCAGAAGCCAGGAGGAGGAATGAGGCTCAAGCAAGGAGTAAGGAGCCTGGAAACCTAAATGACTTTTTCCAGGTGCACAGGAACCAGGTGGAATTTCCCAGAGTCCTTGCTCTGGGGAGGGTCACAGGCCACTATGTATTCAGATGCATTCAGATGCTTCTCTTTGTACCTGCAGTTGGGGTACCTCCCTGAGGCATGCTTGCAGGTGGTTAGGGACACAAGCTTTGGGCTCTTATGGCAGTTTTTATGGCCGTTCTTGCAGGGTATGCTGGGGGTCTGGCAGGTGGCAGCCACATTGGAGAAGGATGCATGCAGGAAGGAGTTGAGGGGTTTGCAGTGCTTTGTGTACTTGTTGATGCGGTCCATTGCTGGGTTGCAGGCTTGAGGTTTGGGTTGCACGTGCTGAGTCTCAAACCACTGAGCTGAGGTCATGTTTCTGGGCTTGGCACTGACTGGGATCTCTGCCACCCACAGCCCCAGCAGCAGGAGCAGCAGCAGGGAGAAGCATCTTGGTCTGGCTGGTGTCATCTGTTTTCGGACAGCGGTCAGGAAGGAGGGATGCGGTTGCTAGGGACAGAGAGTGCAGGTGTTCAGTGGAGAAACTGCCTCCATATGCTTGCTTGTTGTGGCCGCGCACCCCTCTCCCTAGCCTGCTGTCTCATCTCCTCCTCCCCCTCCGTGTGCCCACCTACTGTGACCTTAGACTCCTCTCCTGTCATCCTGTCCCTATTGCCTCTCACCCTTTGTTTTATCTCCTCTCCTTCAGCTGCCATCTCCTCACTGTTCCTTTGGCTCTATAACTGTGTCTCAACCCTTCCACACCTCTATCCCCATTTCCCCATCTGAGCTTTTTTCTCATTTTCTGTCTCCTCCCGCATCACTGTTGTCTCTTGACCATTCTTCCCCTCCCTCATATGCTATCCCCTCTAAATTGAGTGCCTTCTTTGTCTATCTTTGCAAGGGACCCCAATATTGATTATGCTCCAAAGCAGGCTGTAAGCAGAGCAGGCTGTAAAGAGTTAACCGCTCAGTTGGCTTGTTTTGAGAAGTGAGTCCGGCCAAAGCCTATGTGCTGAGGTCAGAATAACTTGCACCCAAATTCTGTTCCCACAGTGAAAACCTTCTTAACTAGAAGGACAAGGTTCTAACTACAACCATATATTTTGTCTACTCTGTTCCTAATTTGAGAGACCTTTGTCTTTTTCCTTTACAAGGTTTGCCCGCGTTAGTTTCCATAGTAACTGCATGACTGCATGTCCCTGCACGTAGCTCACCTTTACCCCAATTGATTACCAAGAAAAACGAGTGGCTTTCTTGCCTGCTTCACTAGTGCAAGGTCCTGAGTTTGATCCTGGGAAACAAAACAAAACAAACAAACAAACAAACAAAATGAGTGGCTTGGACTGGCCAGTGCCTTTGCTGATTAAGCAACATTGGCTGTCCTGGCTCCCTGGTTTCTCTGTCTCTTCAGTTCTGTCTTTTAGTTTTTTTCTCATCCTTGAATCATGGCACTGAGCAGGAGATCAGAACCCACTGCAGAGATCTCTGATATATCTCACTACTCCTCAGAGTGTGCAGATGCTCAGAACCCATCATTTCTCCCTTATTCTTTCTCCTCACCGTATCTTGTTGCAGGCCTCACCTTCTTGTTTAGTCTTCAAACTGGGACTCCTGTTCCAGGGACTGAGGATGTATCCACCCGTGCTGGGCTGTCAGATCTCTAAGGGCCTCTGCTCGCTGCCTGATTCCTTAAAAGCTGACCGGGGCTATGCTGTTTCTATCAGGAAATGAATCAGGTTAATGCCTCTCCATTTACCTGTCCCAAGTAAGTGGAAGCCTATGGACCCAGTCATCCTGCCTAACGAGTTCAGCAGTGAGGAAACTGGGATCCCGACATTCAGATTATACTGCGTGTGGGCCCTGTCCACATGATTTTAATGACTCTTAGTAAAGTACCTGATCCACGTGTCAACCCAGATGAATTTCAGGGAGAGCTGTCATTTTTCTCCCCCGAAATGTGTCTCTGATATTTAAGAACCATCAATCACTGTGCTGTTAAGGATTACATTTTTTTCCAACAAGACATATGGTAGAATAGCCTAGAAGACGAATTTGTAGTTTCTTGTCACTCAGGTATTCTGCTTATCTGTTGGAGGAAACAAGGGAAGTGGATGAATCGTCACAGTCACGATGCCCAGCACCATCCCCAACAGCTTAGCTGTTCCAGGGTGATTCATTTCTCTGAGCCTCTCCAGTTCTAGGTGCCAAGCAGGGTCACCTGGCTTTACCTGGGGAAGGGACCCAACACTTCTCATTCTCACTCTTCCCCTCCCTACTTTACGGAAGTTGCAAAACTGGACCATTATCGAAATGTTTACATTTGAAATGCCTTTGGTGACGTTGCTCTAACATCCTACCTAGCCTTTCCTTCACCTGTTCCTTGTGGTGGTTATAGCCTGGGTCATTGCTGCTCTGGGGGCTCCTAGGAGTTTGGAGTATGATATGTGGGTAAACTGAGAACCTCGGGCAGAGAAGCATTACCATGTGGATGGGAAGGCTGGGAAACAGAGATGTTATTTTCGTATTCAAAAATTCACCTGTAAGTAGTAGGTGAACTCAGAATCTCAGGTTCACCTGTATGCATGTAGTCAAGAAATATTAATTGAGCACCTACTGTATGCCAGTGTACTTGGGATATATCAGTGAACCAAAGAGATGCAAATCTCTACCTCTGTGGGGCTTGTATTCCATTGGAGAAAGACAGTAAATACAGATATATTTTGCTTAAAGTGATAATTGCTAAAGAAAAAAGTAGAAAGGGCAGGGATTATGGGGAGTAATTTTTAATTTAAGTAGGGCTATCTGGGGTGGTGGCACTGCCTATAATTCCAGCACTCGGGAGGCTGAGGCAAGAGAATCACCAGGAGTTCGAGACCAGCCTGGACTACATAGTGAGTTCAAGGCCAGCCTGAACTACAGAGCGAGACCCTGTCTTTAAAAAAAAAAAAAAAAGGTCATCGAGGGGAGAGATGGAGACTTAAAGATGAGTGGCTGAACTTGTGCTTGTCTGGAGGAAGAATGTTCCAGGTCGAGAGAACAGCACTACAAAGGCCCTAAAGCACACAGATGCCTCGGGTGCTGGTGGAACAGAAAGGTGACCAGTAAGTGAAGGAGGGGTTCAGAGAGAGGTCAGAAATTGGACCATTGGGAGCCTTAGGACTGTTAGAAGGGCTATGATGGCCAGGCACAGTGTAATTACAGGCACACCTGTAATCCTAGCATTCTGGGAGGCCAAGGCAGGAGGATTCCAAGTTTGAGCCCACCTTGGTCAACTTAGTGATTTAGCAAGACCTTGTCTCAAAAATAAAGGGGGTGGGGGGATGGGCTGGAGATGTAGCTTAGTCCTAAGGCTCTGGGTTCAATCTGAGAGAGAGAGAGAGAGAGAGGAAGAGAGGGAGAGAGAGAGAGGCTGAGATTGTGACTTTTACTATGAGCAGACGAGTACAAGGCCTGTCTGTATCAAGGATTGTGCGGCTGTCGTGTGTCGTGTGGATTATAACTGTGGAGAGGTCATGTAAACCATCTTGATCATGAGGTTTGTTTCTGGTTTTCAAAGTTAGGGCTCTGAGTGAGGAAGTTGGTGGGATGTCTGTTGTGAGGCCAGAAGGAGATGATTTTAATGGAGGGCGAGCAGATGTGTGTGAGGAGGAATGGTTTCAGAAGGAAAGGTAGCGTTGTAGACGGAAAACACCACTAGATGGCAAAAGAGACTTGAGAAGAAGATAACCCAGGCCTCAGGCTCTGTGGGCGTCCCTCGGGGAGGTCCTGACTGTGGGGACAGCCCTTTCTTTCTTTGTTAAGGTGCTTACCCTTAAAAGCAGACCTTCTAAACACTATTTTGCTGCTGTAGAAACCCTCAGGATTGGGGATAAAATCCTTATTTTAAAGCAGATCAAATGCAGATCAACTCTGGCCAGATGAGCTCTGGGCTAGGTAGGAAGAGGGGTAGTAGGCTTTGGGCTCATTTGAATTCCTAGCCCAGTTTCCTTTCCATTTCCCATTCTCCTGCAGTGAGATGTTTCCAAACCACGATCTGAACTGCCCCCTGAGCTTGTGTTTTCCTGTCATTATAGTTATCCTGGTTTGCTCTGCAACTCCATTATGCTGGACTCTCCAGAAGGCTGCTTAGTGCTGAGTGCAGATGAAATAAACAAGGCCCTGGTGTCTCAGGTCAACAGGAAAGAGAGAGAAAGTTGAAGTTTGCATATGAAAATTGAAGTGGAAGAGTTGAAGCTGCCATCTGTACAATTCAGGCTGAAACCTTTGGACACAATTATTTGGGTAAGGAAAGTAATTGTGTATATTTATTTGGCTAAACTATCCACAAGATCTGCTTCTCTTTGCACTTAGTAGGATAATTTTACTCCTTTTTTTCTTCACTCCATTTGTGGGCCAAAGGAAAAGATAAAAGAAGGAGACAGGGTTAGGCAGAACAAAAGGAGTCGGACCTCAGACCAAGGACTCCTCAGGGAGCCTTGCAGAAGGAGGAGAGAAACTTAGAAAAGGAAAGCAGGAGGCAAAATGGTGAGAGACAAGATGAGGGAAGGCAGCCCCTCAAGAGAACAACCTCCACCAGGCTTTCTTCCTCTCTGTACTGCCACGGTCACGGCTGTTGGCCCAGCCTCCCCCCAGACTACTGTGCGTGTGCGTGTGCGTGTGTGTGTGTGTGTGTGTGTGTGTGTGTGTGTGTGTTTTAAGTTGGGGCGGGTGTTGTGAAAATCCCAGCAGTGCCAGGTGGACCTCTGCCTGTGCTCCCCAAAGGACAACAGCTGCTGCTTCCTCTGGCCTGGGATGGGAGCTGAGGGAGGAGGCCTGGCCTGGCATGACGCCCGCCCTTTAGAGCCAAGCCTCTCTCTTCCGGAGTTCCACACAGCCTCTGGATACCAGTGGAAAACCCAGGAGAGAGTGACTTTTCCTCTAAGCAGGAGCAGATCCAAGTTCTGCTATCCTAATTTTGTTGATCCTTGGATAAACAAGGGTAATGGGCTCATTTCTGTATTTGGGAAAAGTGAAACATACAGCAAGTTTGGTTCAGACATGGGACTCAGTTTGGGTCTTTGAATTCCCATGACCTTTCCTGGAACAGCTGTGCGTTTGAAAGAGGCAAACTCCAAAACAGAAAGTTGGAATCCTTGGCTCCCAAGCGGGGCTGCAGGAGAAAAGGACCTGGTGTGGGATGAGAGGCTTCACCAGGTCACCCTGTCTTAGAAGCCAGCTTTCCACACCTCCTATGCACAGAGCAGAGTAAGTTCCTCAGCCTGAGCCTCGAGCCTGCCACCATCTAGAAAAACCATCTTTCTGCCTTTGCCTCTGACTTTTATCCTATTTAGTACCTCAAAAACTGCCAGACTGGTTTTCTCCCTTCTCTTAAACAGGCTTTCGTAATCCTCTTTATCTCCACTTAACTCCTACCTGCCGCAAGAGACTCATCCCAAGGCCCCAGGATGACCACCCTTCTCCTCTGGGAAATTTTCCCTGATTTTCTCAATTCAGACAGATCTTTCTACAGCATTTACTGTCTTCTGGAAGTATTATTTTCTGCTTTGAACCATTGATTATTTTTTCATATATATTTATTGTTTCCCTCCAGCTTAGACGGTCAACTCCTAGAAGGCTAGAAGCCTCGGTCACAGTCCTTTTGTACCTCACACAGAAGTGGAATTGAACAAGAAGCCTTGGATGGCTTCAGCCATCCCTTGGGTTTAAGGAGAACCCAGGAACCGTCTGTGACCAGGTCTACTGTTGGAGCCACTTGAGTTGGACAGGGCCAAAAGAAATGTCAGTGAAATCATGTGGAGTGTACTCTGGGCAGAATCTTGGGAGTTCCCTGGAATTACAAGGACTCACCCCTCACTTGTTGTGTAGCTAATGTTCTACAAATGCTTACTGCTGGAGAAGGAGGGATAAAATGTATTGAGGTTTACAGGCAGTGGGTCTTCTTTTGGCGGGGGGAGCTACTGGAGATTGAATTCAGGGCCTTTCCTGAAGAGCCCCAACCCTTTTATTTTTTATTTTGAGACAGGGTCTCATTAAGTTGCTAAATTGCCAAGATTGCTTGAATTTGTGATGGCCCTGCCTCAGCCTCCTGGAGTACTGGGATTACAGGTGTGCCCATCTCAGAGGGTCCTCTTTATAAGAAAAATAAATCAAAGTTATCATTTCAGTGTTGAACTACTGGCACTCCTTTTGACTGTAAAAGAACCAGCACCATTACAATAAAACTCTGTTTAACAAAAACCATTTCCAAAAAGCTTTTGTACATAGGGAGGGGAGGAGACTTGAGGGGAGAGGGGAATGGGGGAATGAGATAAAATTAAATTAAATTAAATTAAATTTTAAAGCAAACAAAAGGGCCAGGGATTTAGCTCAGTGGCACTGTGCCTGCCTGGCAAGCATAAGGTCCTGAGTTCGATCCCTGGTACCAAAAGTAAATAAATAAAATAAAAAACAAATAACCCAAAAAACATTTCCAGGTTTCATATGTTTTCCAAAGCTTTCAAATACATAAAGTAAACCAGCATGGTAGTTCATGCCTGTAATACCAGCTAATGGGAGGCCGAGGCAGAAGGATGCAAGTTTGAGGCCAGTTTGGGGAATTTACCAAGATCCTGTCTCAAAATAAAAACAAATAAAAAAAGGGATGGGGATATGGATCAGGGGGTAGAAAGCTTGCCCTGCATATGGAGACCCTGCACACGAATTCCCAGTACTACAATAAAACAAAAACATGAGATATAAGTCAGTCTGCTCTTGTAAGGAAATTTGACTATCTCATTAATGAGATCAGGGCTTCTCAGTCTCAGAATTATTTACATCTTACTCTGGACAGTTCTTTGTCAGGGGGGCTGTCTTGCACAATCCAGGTTTTTAGCAATATCCCTGGCCTTGTGGCAGTAGCAACTTCCAGTTATGGCACCCTAAATATTTTCCAGACATTACGAAATTATCCCCAGTCAAGAACCACTGAATTTGACATACAACCTGGGGCAAGCTACCATCCCTCCAGAACTTAGTTTCTTCATCTTTAGGGTGGTTCTTGTATATGTAAAGTCCAGAGCAATGGAGAGCAAGTCCACAAATCCTGGGCTTAGGGAGCATATCAAGCCATGAGCAGGATATCAGAATGGATGAAGCAATTCTATATAGCAGCACTTCGAGGACAGAATTGTAGAGGCCAGACCTCCAGAACTGTAGTTGGGAACCCAAAGGTCTATCACTCTGGCCCCACTCAGCACCACTCCTGGACCTGTGCTCATGACTTTGTAGCATGTGTTTTTATGTATGACTGTCCTACAGAATTATAGATATAATCCACAACGTTTTTCGAAGTGTCTTTCAGATAATATCTGGCTAATTTTAAAAGTTATCTCCAAGTAATCAAATCTTCATGGAGATGAATTTTAGGCCATAAGTGAGAAAGAGCTCCGGATGGGTGGAGCAAGGATGAGGTTGGGCTTGGGGGTGCTATCACCAGGGTTGCTTAGAGAATAAATGTGGCTTTGCAAATGTCAAAAGTGAGTTAATGTAGAACTTAGGAGCCTGTGTCCAGTTAGTTATCCACTTACATATTATTTCATGATTAAAAAGCTCTTTCACATTTGCTGTCTGATTTTATTCTTGCAGTCTTATGAGGTAAGGAAGGTACTTTCCCATCTGACAGAAGACGAAACAGGAGGGCAGCAGGTCATTCAGTATTAAATCCTGAACTCTTTCTTCTACCATGTGCCCTTCAGTTTCTGTAATCCCGCAGGCAAAGGTAAGGGCTGGTAGCTGCAGAGTGGTAATGTGTGGGCAGAGAATGAAGAAAGAGGAAGACCAAGAGGCACAGAAAGCCTCTTTCTCTTCTCAGGGAAGTGGCAGACTTGAAGGTCAAGGTGGCAGGATTCCAGGCTGGGGCCACAGCCTTTATGGCTGGCTTCCTCAAAAGACCTGAGTCAGCTTGGTTCGGGCATGAACCAGTCTGCATGGCTGCCACTTGGTGTTGTGTTGTTGAGCAGCCTGAATGACACAGAGGAGCCACCTGCTTGCACGGGCTTTATCTTCCCTTGCTTGGCTGTGCACAGTTCCCAGGGGAGGTCATTCCAAGCACAGATTTCTGAAATGGGACCTGCAGGACTGATGGGCTGAGAGGGAGAGGGGGTGGCAGCAACGTTCCTGGTAGAGGGGACATCAGGGCAAGGGCACAAGGGTGGGCTGGGGGCTGCTGCAGAGTGTTAGACCAAAGAAGAGACTACATCTGGCAGTTCTATTTGTACTGAGCCTTCCTGGAGTTGGAGAGTGTATGGTATCCAGGAGAGAGGAGAGCCTGAGCAGAAGAAACAGGAATGAGAGGGATGGATCTGGACAAAGCTTTGGTGAAGACTGTCAGGGCTTCATGGCTGATGGACTCATACTCATATTGAGTACTCACCGTAGACCAGGCACTGGGCTAAGAGCTCTTGGTACCTACCTTAATGAATGTGATCCTGCCATGATGCATAAAACACTTCTCCTGAGAGGACAAAGAAACGGAAGTGTATATCGGCTTAGTGAACTTAGATGATGGCCCACAGCATGGAAGCTACAGAGTCAGGACTGAGTTTCTGGTCTGTTTCACTCGAAAGCCTGAATCTTATCCACCGTGCGATCCTGACTCTTAGTATGGGGGTCAAGGGGATGGAAGAGCTTAGGACCACTCTCAGATTTCTTGTACCTGTAAATGAGTGTATTTGTCCACTTTCTCGTCACTAGGACATGACATCCACCCAACACCCACAACTTAAAGGAGGAGAGGTTTAGTTTGCTCATGATTTGGGAGGATTCAGACCCTGGTCAGCTGTTTCCAAGGCAGAAACAGCATGGTGGAGGGGTACAGTGGAGGAAAGCTGCTCACTCGGGGCAGCCAGGAAGTAGAGAAAAAAGAGAGGAGCCTCGGACAAGAATGGGGATCGAGGGCTGGGGATTTAGCTCAGTGGTTTCATCATCGCCTGCTGCACAAGTGCAAGGACCCAAGTTCGATCCCCGGTACTGTACCAAAAAAAAAAAGAATGGGGATAGAACCCTCTGAGACATAACCCACCCACTGTGACCCACCTCCAACCAGGCCCCACCTTCTTACAGCGCACTTACCTATCAACTCAGCTATAAATGACTCCACCAGCCAGGACAATGATCTCATGACTCAAACACCTTTCCAATACCCCACCTCTGAACATGTGAGAGTTTAGGGGGGTTATTCTAGATCTAAACTGTAACACTGAAGAAACTACAACACAGGGGGAGAAGTTGTGAGGAGGATGGATTCATTTTTAGATTCTAGCTTGTGCTGTCCGAAAGGGCCAGTCTAGGGGTGCTGTGAATGAGGGGCCATAAAGGGAGCTCCAGTGTGTCTCCCTGCAGCCCCCTGGAGCACCCAGTGTTCCTACAGCCTTTGGACTCCCTGTCCCGCTGGTGGGGGTAAAAAGGTTCTCCTAAGCAGCAGCCCAAAATGTGGACAGCATCTCGACACAAGACAGGGCTGCAAGGCTTATGGAGGTCAAGGACTAGGGCTGGCAGCTCTGGGAGCTAGCTCTTTGGCTCTGCTGAAGGGGTGGATAGTTGATAGTTGAGGCAAGAGAACCAGGAGCCTGGCTCTCTCCCCAGCATGACAAATTACCCAAAGACTAGCTAACAGTGGGAGTCTGATTAGGCCTGGCTTGGGCTTGAGGTCATGTCGCCTCATGTCTAGGTTATGCAGTGGACTTAACTGCTAAGTTAGAGGCTTCAGAGTCAATATGCACAGACTGACAGGGCCTGTATCACAGGTGACAGGTGTTGATGTGACAGGAGCAGGATTGTAAACAGGGACCTTTGAGGTCCTTGATTCTCAGCCTGGCACTTTTTCAAAAAAGTGTTTTCGAGACAAGGTCTGGCTATGTAGTTCAGGCAGGCTTTGAACTCATTATGTAGCCCACACTGTCCTCGAACTCTGAGCAATCTTTCTGCCTTTGGCTCGTTAGTGCTGGGATCACAGGTGTGTGTCACCATGCCTGGCCTCAGCCTGGCACTTTGATGGGAGGCCCCCATGCACACACAGCCTCCTGAGCTCCTGTGAGTGGTGGAACCTCTCTTCTCTGAGGGTCAGGAATAAGAAACACTTAGTTCCTCTGAAACATGACAGCGCTTTTCTTCCCACCTTGCTGTGGGAGCAGGGCTGATGGGCCAGAGCAAACATCAAAGAAAGCCCAGGGACTTAGGGATTTCTGGCAAGGAAATTGGAACTAAGTGTTCTAAAGACACCAAAGAGGAGAAGGCCAGACAGCAATGTCTCTTTCCTCCCACCCATCCAACCCCCTCAGCCCAGGGGCTGCTCAAACTCAGGGGATACTTCTTCCTCCAAGACTGGTCTTCACCCAGAAATCTTTAGTGCAACTCAACGCTAGGCTGTCCTTGGTCACAGGTAAGAAGCATCCCTGCCCCCACCTACCTGTCTTCAGCTCCAGGCCTTCCAGAGCTTCTAGAGCTGTCTGCGAATCATCAGCTCAGCCTGCTCCTTCTAGCCTTTATGCGTTTTTTTTTTTTAAACTAGAAAGGGTGTGGGGTAGATAACTGGGAATTGTCTCTCACCTGAGGACCAGCTGGATTTCTTATTCCGCAAGTGCTGCAGTTTACAGATTGGGTGAGATTAAAACCCTGCAGTGGACCAGGGGATGGGGATGGCTGTGGGTGGCTGATCAATTTGGGTGGCTTTGGGCAAGTACCTTCTCTCTCTGGGGTATAAGGATTTGAAGGATGAGGTCTGAGTGACCAGCCAGCTCTTAGAGAGTAAGGAAGGCACATGGGGAAGGTTGAACAGTGCTGGAGGCTCTAGGAGGGGCGTACAGCCACCCTAGGTCCACCCTAACTCCAACCACCTTAACTCTGCCAGCAGGAGGAATGGCACCAGCTGTGGCCCAGCTCCTTTTCCTTCAGCTTGTTCTAGGGCCAGCTCCGGTGGTGAACATCAAGGTGCATCCTGAAGCTCAAAACTTCCATAACTTACACATCGACTATCCCAAGGTTACCTTCGCAGAGGGTTTCCAGGGCTACTGCAATGGCTTTATGGCCTATGTGAGGGGCAGAAGGCAAAACTGGTTTTGCCCAAAGGTCCATTATGTGCTACATGCCCCCTGGAAAGACATCCAGAAATTCTGCAACTATACTGACTACTTCTGTGATGTCTACAATGAATACTGCACACTTACTCGGGACTTCTTTTGGCTCACAACCTGCACCCTGGACCCTAAGCATCCATCCACTGGCTGTTCCTACACCACCAGTGTAACCAGACAAAGGGTCTATCTGGTCTGCTCCCGCAGGTATAAAGGTAGCCCAATAGGTATCATCAGCCTCATTTAGGGAATTTAATTCCCGAACCATCCCTACCTCCTTCCTATGTCTGAAACTCTGATTCCTGTAATAAGCCTTCCTACCCTGACTTCCATGGCAGGCATGGCCCAGAGACCAGGCAGGTAGGAAAATGCCCAGGAAAATGATCACAGTGGAAAGCTGTAGTATCTCCTATGTCCTTTCCAGTTTGTTTACCACCTCCTCACTACTCCACCCCCAACCTCCCTTTCCCAGCGACAGTAAAACCCACCCAAGAAGCTGGCTGTGTCCACTTGGCAGTGCCTGTCCCAGCACTGGGCCAGATCCTGACTCCTGGATGGAGGCCCAGGGCCCCAGCTCACACCATAGCAACAGGCTCCAGTCCCACCCCCCATGCTTCCCATCTCCGTCTTTCCATTTCCCTTCTAACTCCCTCCACTCACAAACCCACACAGCAGTATCTCAGTACCTTCCTGAGAGCCTTAGGCCCTCCCACCTTAGCCTCCTTTCTCCACAGCTCCCTCAGTCTCTAGCCTCTCTGTGGGATCACTGATTCCCTCTTCATGTAACCTGTCATTTCCTCCACCTCCCACCGTGAAGCCAGTGTTGTCTCTCATCCACACTTGCAACTGCTTGGGCACCCTACTTTCTTTTTCTGGTCTCTTCCTTCCATCCCTCTCACCTCGGCCAACTGGAATTTCACGTTATTGTCTCTTACCCATTTCCCTCAAGGTTCCTGCATCCCTTTCCTTCCAGAAGCTCCTCCCCAAATTGTCCAAACTTCAAAGTCTGCCATTGACAAAGCAGTGGGTGAGGCAGGCCCAGCTCTAGTCATGTAAAAAATTTTTGGTGGTGCTGGGGATCAAACCCAAAGTGTCCCATTTGCTAGGCAAGTGCTCTACCATTGAGCTATGTCCCCATCCCCCACTCAAGTAATGTTTAAAAACCATATCTGGTGCTCGCTTTGGCAGCACAGATACTAAAATCATAAGTGAAAATAGAATCACTGTGCCAAGTATACTGGTGCCTGCCTGTAGTCCCAGGACTCTAGGAGGATGAGGCACAAAGACTGAAATTTCCTGGGCAATTTAGCAACTTAGCCAGATCTTGTATCACCCTGTCTCAAAAAACAAAGACAAAACAAGACGACAACAACAACAACAACAACAACAACAGCAACAGAACGTAGACCATTAGGGCAAACTGGGGGAAGTTTGAGATCTCTGTACTATTTTTTTTTTTTTTAACAATTCTTGTGAGTCTGTAATCATTTCAAAATAAAAAGTTAAAAATACATTTGACTCAATTTAGTTCTGATCTAATTCCTTTTAAAAATTTTATTTATTTATTTATTTTGGTTTTTTGAGACAGGGTCTCTCTATGTGGTTCAAACTGGCCTTGAATTCACTATGTAGCCCAGGCTGGCCTCAAACTCACAGCGATCCTCCAGCCTCAACCTCCGGAGTGCTGGGATTACAGGCGTGCACCACCATGCCTGGTTTAATTCTTTATTGCTGTTCTGGAAATCCTGGTGGCCACCCATCTCTAGCTATCTCCCTGGGCTGCCCTCAGCAGTCACAAAGTCTTCTGTTCCATGGATAGCATAATGGACATGGGGTGGGTAAAACTCACTTCTGGGCTGGGTATTGAAAATGTATTCTCCCTACCCCAGCTCTAGAACAAATGTGTTATAGGAGTCAGGCGGCCCAACCTGCCTTCTACTTCTTCCACAATAAAACTTGAATTGTAACAGATGTGGATGGTTCAAGGGACAGGAAAGTGTCTAATATGTAATATCTGAGTCATCAAATCAGAAATCAGAAATTGCTTCTGGGCATGGTGGTGCGCACCTATAACTCCAGCACTCAAAAAAAAAAAAAGAAAAGAAAAAGAAATCATTATTCTCTTTTGGGAGGCAGATTTGTTTTTTTAGAGACAAGGTCTCAGTATGTAGTTCAGGCTAGCTTTGAACTCACTATGTAGCCCAGGCTGCCATGGAACTCAAGGGGATCCTCCTTCCTCAGCCTCCTGAATGCTGGGATTATAAGCATGCACCACCGAGGTTGACTTGCCTCCACATCTGCTTCATCTCTTACCTCCAAATATATTCCTCAGATGTGTTCTTAGGGAAATGCTAACTTTGGCCGGTAAACATGAGGCTAAGCAAGGTAAAGGGTATATGTCTGACTTTTCTGGCTTTCTCTTCTTCCCCTTCCACCAATGAGCCAATCCCCTCCCCCCATTAAACCAAGCTCATTATTTGCTCCACACACAGATGTTTATTGTCTCCTCGTGTCCCTGGTGACAAAGATGCAGGGTCAGGGGACTAAGATGAGGCTCCTGTCTACTTGCTGCTCTTCTCATCGTAAGTCCCAGCACCTTGTAGCCACTCACATAGCCCGAGTTGTTGGCCTTCTCTTCCTGTCCTGCGATGCCCTTGCCCTTGCCACTCTTGTCAAAGTGCTCCTTGTGGCTGCCTATATACTTACTGATGTCTGTCAAGCAGTCTACTGCGCCTGCTGTCGTTGGTTTCTGCAAGCCAGAGGAGCGGGTCAAGCCCTTAGCCCTTCCCCAAAGACGGGTTTAGGCCCTCAGAGCAAGTGCCCTGAGCTCTTTTCTGCCTCAGCCTAGGGCTGCTTCCCAGGGGGCCTGGATGCAGCAGAGGGCAGGAGATCTGGCAAGAGCCGTCCACCTGTGAGGGGCCGACCCAAACCCAATGCGCAGAGTAGAAAGACCTTTTTGTACAAGGGGCAATTAAGAAAGAGGGTGGGTGAGAGGCAGGAGGTCCTAGATTAAATTTAAAGAAGAGCAGAAAAGGACTGGGGATTAGGTACCAAGTCTTTGATGTTGATGTCACCCCAAACTCACCAAGCCCTGGACACCTGGGTCAGACACTGGAGATGGGAATGAGTCTAAATACTACTATTAAAATAGCTACACTGCAGCTAGGGGTTTAGCCCAGCACTCCTTCCCCAAACTGCTGTGCACCTGGGGCTACAGTTTCCTCCCTCCTGGAGGACTATGCGGTCTCCACAGTCTGCTCTGGTACCAGTGCACTGTAGGCCTTCTGCCCCGTCGCCTGAAGTTACACTGTTGGCAGGGTTTGCACAGTGGAGGAGGAGGGGCAGACTGGAGCCACAGGGACTTGGACAAGTGTGGTCGAGAGCAGGGATGAAGAGTGGCACTCACAGTAACACCAGTGGTAGCTGGTTCCTTGCCCTCCATGAGTTTAAAAATTTCTGCCAAGGCTTCCTCTGGGTTTGTCCCTTTGAACCGCATCTGGCCCAGTTCCTTCACTGCTTCTTGGAATTGCTGAAATGTGATGGTTCGGGCATTCTTGGCCCTGGTCATTAAGAAACACAGGAATTTGAATCATGAACCCATGAGCTTCCAAGGTCAGACCGTTCCCTTCCTCTGACTTGGCCTCATCTGTTGTATCATGGAAAGTCTTGAGGCCAGAGGGCAGCACCAGCCAGGCACCCATGGGTGCTTGGTAGGCCCACTTCGGACCCTCTGTACAGGAACCTCTGCTGGTCCCACACCCACCTGAGATGTCTTACTTCACTTTGCTAAACACGATGTCCACAGAATTGGAGGTGACCATCTTGCCGTCCATGATGTTACAGTCTTTACACAGCTTGGTGAAGTTCTTGTTGTTCATCTCAGTGCCACTGCTTGCTGTGTCCCCGAAGGCAACAAATCGATGGAACGTTTTTTCCGCTTCTGATGCCATGGTCAGCTGGAAGTGCCAGAGAACCTGAGGGTGAGGGAAGCCCTGAGGGGTAGTGAGGGTGGGTTAAGACAAAGCCAGTGACAAGAACAATTCCCTTTTTCCATTTTTATCTCCCTTCCTTCCCTTGCTGGCTCCATCCTTTCTTCCGGAGCTACAGCCTGCAACCTCTTCCCAGCACCATGGATCCTAGTATTGAGCTCCCTTACTGATTAATTTCCCCTTCCCCACCACTTCTGTTACTTAAGAGTGCCCGGATGAGGTCTGATCATGCCCTGCCTGTTATATACTCGGGTGTGCAGGTGTGCAGGAACCAGCTGGTTGGGGAGATTGTGTGGCAATAAGGAGACAGAAAGGGGCAGGGAGGAAAGCTGAGGCCTGGACCTCAGCAGTGTTTGTGACATCATTTCTGGCTCCAGCTATACCTTTGTCTTCAGGGGAGGGGCTTTGTTTTCTACCTTGCAGATTGCATTCAGCAAGTTGACAACCTTCTGGCCTCTTCAGATGATTACACTTCCTTCATCATTCAATCCAATTTACCAGTCCTCTGAGTCCTGGTTACATTGTGTCATGTTCTGCCTCACAACAAAAGCTAAGCAGAGGGCCAGGGATTTAGCTCAGTGGTTTCGCCGCCTGCTGCGCAAGTGCAAGGACCTGAGTTCGATCCCTGGCACCAAAAAAAAAAAAAAAACAAAAACCTAAGCAGAGCCCAGGGAAGGCGTCAGTCTGTTCAGGCAGCTATAGCAAAATATCTTAAGTTAGATGGCTGACAAACAACAGAAATTTATTTCTCATGGTTTTGGAGGCTGGGAGTTTTATGACCAAGGTGCCAGTAAATTTGGTGTCTTAGTGAGGGTTGCTGTTTCATACATGGTGAATTCTGTGTCCCGACATGGTGGTGGGCAAAGGGGCAAAGAGCTCCCTTGGGGCTATCCACCAATCCTCTTCACAAAGCTTCTGTCCTCATGAAACCTACCCATGACTCCCCCAAGACCCCATCTCCTAATACCTTCACTTTGGGAGTTAGGACTTTAACATGTGAACTTGGGGGGGGGCACCTTCAGACCATGGAAGATGGAATAAATGGAAACAAGTTGGCTTCAATCCATTGCCCTTCTGTGCAGTCTCCAGGCTCAGGTTTAGTCACCAGCATGGAGAATCTCACTAGCTTTAGCAGATCAACTTCAACAGGAACTTTAAAGGGCTTCCTGTGTTGGGCCCAGCAGGAATAGAGAAGGGGTCTGAGTATCACAGATCCGGGTTGGTCAGTTTAAAATTGTTGGGGTGAGATGAGTCTCAGAGTCTGAAAATCCTCCAGATAAATTTCTGTGTAAGTCAAAAATGTTCCTCATGTTTCTCTCTTTGGCCTTTTCCCCCCCGCTGGTGAGATGGGGATCCTAAAACAGAAACAGAACAACTGGTTTGGTGACTTGCCTCCCCCTTTTATCTAATCAGTCACCAACTTCTATAACTTTTTAAATCTCATAAACCCATTCTTTTCTTTCCCTTCCTATAACTTCCACCCTTACTGAAGTCCTTTTCACATCAGATCTGGCTTCTAAATGACCTCTTTCCTAAGTCTAAAACATCACTCCCACCTACTCCATTATCCAACTCCGTTACCTTCTTATCAGATTAATGTTCACCCACTGCTCCTGCTCAAGAACATGCTATGGCTCAAGAATAGATTATGGATTTTCACTGCCCAATCTTTTTGTCTAACATTCAAGGACCTGCACAACACAGGCCCAGGGTATTTTACCACGAATCACCTCCTCTCATCTATATTATTCTCCTGCTGGAGTCTTAATGGCCTCATCATTTTGTACTTGAGAGGCTGGTCGTGGAGAGCGTATAGTGTCTTTGGAGTGGAGCAAATCTGAGTGGGGAAGGCAGATATGTCATTTACTAGCTGGCTGGCTCTTGGCAAATCAGTAATTCTGGGCTTCAGGTTCCTCATCTATATAGAAAGGACATGATACGCATGTGAGAAGTGCCTGGTGCATAGTAGCTACACTTTAATTATACAAATAACTTGTGTATTACTATCTCCAAACTTCCCCTCATGCTCTCTGCCTGGATAGAATGCCCCTCTCTCCCACTCAAATATCTGTGGTTGCTTTTTTTTTTTCTGTTTCCTAGAAACAAAGGCCTTTTTCTCCTCTGAATTATGGTAAGATAGTGGCTCTTAACCTGCAGGCTGCAGGTTTGGAGTGAGAGCTTCTGAAGCACTGCAAGGGATCTGTACACAAAATACTGAGCAGATAATGCGCCCTTTGCATATACAGGCATTGGTACATCTACAGGTATTGTGATTATCAGAATACTGTAGAGAATTCTCTGAAGCCACTGAATTTATATATTTTCTCCATCGAGAGGATATCAAGACCATCATTATATGGAAATGGAACTCTCTGATGTCCCATTTAAGAGGAGTGGGAAACTATTGGTTCGGGACTTATTCTCTGAACCACTGATCTTTATATAACTTCCCCTAACCTTTTATGTGTTTATATTTTCCCTTGACTACTGGGTCATAAACTTCTAGAGAGGGTGTGACCAGACTTCCACTTCTTCACATGCCATCCATACAGTGGTTTACACCTAACAGGTGCTTAAACTGCCGTTTAGTTGAAGGTATAGTTTGAAGTGCTTCTGGCTCAGAGAAAGGGTGTGTGTGTGTGGAGAGAGAGAGAGAGAGAGAGAGAGAGAGAGAGAGAGAGAGAGAGAGAGAGAGAGAGAGAGAGAGAGAGAGAGAGAGAGAGAGAGAGAGAGAGAGAGAGAGAGAGAGAAGCATGGATTCATTGTCCTTATTGGGACACTTACACCCAGATCTGTTCAGAGCTGCCCTGACAGAAAAGAATCCTATTCTAAAGGAGAACCAGCCTTAGTTTGGTCTGCAGAAGGCTGAGGGGAACCCCCTAGGCCTCGGGAAGCAAACAGATCTCAGTGGAAATTTCCCACCTCCTGCTTGCCCCAAGCCCCTGTGCAGGCAGGCCCCTTATCAGGTTCCCCCTGAGTCATCCTGATCCAGAGACGAATTTAGATGCTGGAACCTTCAGGTCTTTCCCTCCCCCACACCAAGTAAGACTGCTTTAGGCACATCAAAGAAGCATGCAGGCCCAAAGTTCTCTGTAGGTTCTTTCACCCCAAGTTCCTCTAGGGCTGCTGAGGTCTCTCCCCTCCTAGGCACTTGTAGCTATGATCCTAATTCCAGAAGGCTTTTCCTTGTCTATGAGAGTGTGAAGCCCACACCCAGAGGTGTGGGGGCTAGGCTGGGAGCCAGAGCACCTAGCTTCTAAGCAGGTTTCTCAGGAAATAGTCATGAAGGAAGGGAGAAAGCGTCAGAGGAAAACTGGGGTGCTCCAGATTGGAGGATACAGAAAATCCCCTAGATTTAGAGTTATTGAAGGTTGGGTTTGAGCCTACACAGTTCTACTCTGGTCCCCTCCTCCCTTTTGGCCTCTACTTCTTTCCAACAGACCTGCCAAGTGGGGATGAAAGGGGCATTGATGTTCCTCGGATGGGGAGGGGGGGTGGTGAGAGGGTGGTTCCCAGGCAGGAATGGCGAGGGCAATTTGGGGGTCTTGGGGAGCCGTCTGTGGTGGTGTTGCAGTTGGCAGCTCGAGTTCCATTGGCCATTGTTCCCAACTGGCCTGGTGCCCAGCCCCCGAAATGGCAACGCAGGAACCAGGCTGAAGGGGGATGGGGTGGGGATGATCCCGGGAGGAAATTCAGGCTGGTTTCCTTTTACCTGAGACCACTTTGAATTCCCTTAGTGTTAACATCAACGATCCCATTCCAGGGGCCCTTCCCCTGAGGGGCACGGGCTGGGTGCCGCGGGTGTGCAGGAGTGTGGAAGTCTAGGATGGCAAACCCACCCGGGCACCATGAGACACCACCGCCTGGCCGTGGCGACCTAGCCAGTCTGAGCTGGTCTCCTTCTCCTTTTCTGGGCCGGGCTGGGAGGAGTTAGTGCCGAAGCCACAGGGTCTCTTGGGCCCCAGCCCGGGACACAGCGTCCTCCCCAAGCCCCTACCCCACCCCTGCAGGGCTAACCCCGCCCCCGCGCCTGTTTACCCAGGAGTCAGAGCCGTTTGGGGGGTCCCCGGCCCCTCCCTCGCACCCTCCCCGGTGAGCGCCCTGACCCGGGAGTCCCCGTGGGCCATCCTCTCCCCCCTCCTGCGATCGCCCTCTATTTATAGCGGCCCCCCGCGTTCCCCGCCCCCCCTCTTGTTGTCCAACTTCTCTTGGAGCAGGCGGAGAGCGAGCGTTGGGACTCGGCAAAGAGAGGAGGTACCGGGACCTGGGCGCCCGGAGTCGAAATTCCTGCGCCCTCGACGCCCCCAACCCCACACGGGGCTGACCGGCGAGACCCCAGCTTCCTCGGGGGCAAGCCTCGCCCCCCTCCTCCTGTTTCCCGACCGGCGGAGTTGAATCGTGGGCTGTCAGTACTTTGGGCGTCTCCCCTCTGCCGACCCCACCACTGAGTTTGGGGACGAAGGAAGGGGCCAGGGCGCGACAGGCAGATCTAGGTCACGGGCAGAGGCGGTGTTGCGGGAGGGCGTGGGGATCCCTAGCAGGGTTACGGGGTCCCCATGCACACCCCCTGCCTGCCCGCTAGGGCGTGTTGCAGGGAGCGCACGCAGAGCCTGGAAGCACCCAGCAGTCGGCTTTCCCCGAGAGCCCCCAGCGCACCCCCTCCTAGAGCGCCACGCCGGGCGGGGCGAGGGGGCGTGCTCACGGGGGTCCGGGGCGGGCCTGCGGGAGCTGTGGCCGTGGGCGGGCCGGGGGCGGGTCTGCGGGGAGCCCGAGCCGGGGCGGGCCCGAGTCAAAGGCAAGTGAAGGTGGCGGCGATCGTGGCGGCAGGTAGGGGGAGGGGCAGGAGGGGCCGCGGGGCTGGAAGGCGCCGGGGGGAGGGGGGCCCCTGCCATACGGGGTCTGCGGCTCGGGGAAGGGGTCGGCGCGGAAGGGGCGCTCGGGTGCTGCGCACAAAGGCAGAGGCTCTGCGAGTGCAGGGCGTGTTAGGGGCGTGCGTGAGATTGCGTCCCGGGTCCCGGGGGCTTCTCGCCCGCTGCGGGACGGGGTCAGTCCCCAGGCGGGGGTGGGGTGGCTGCGCAGGGGACTCGCAGGGACGGGTTCCGGGTGTTGGGCCTGGCCACCCTGAAAGTCCTGCCATCCCTTCCCAGCTGGCGCCCGCTCTCGAGGCCGTCGGGGAAGCTGGGAGATTGTGGGACCGCTCTCCCCCTCCCCTCTATGTTTGGAGGACCTAGGCGGACTAGCTGGAGGAGAGAAGCTAAGGCACGAGCGTTTTTTAGTTTGTTTTGAAACGGAGAAAAGCAGTCACGCTTTCCTCCCTCAGCTCAGTGGAAAGCTGTCACAAATCTTGGGGTCCCCTGGCCACCCCCATTTTACTTTGCAGAAAGGAGATTAAATAGTAACTGACAGGGCCAAGGTCACGCTGTTAGTGCCAGAGCCAGGGTTAGAATCCAGAGCTTCAGACACCCTCTCTTCTTCCACCACATCAGCACTTCCTTCTTGCCACTCCCCTTCCCCAGCCTGCTCTATGTGGCCCCACAGGCTCGTCCAGGCCCAGCCAGTATTGATCGAACCCTGGAGAGGACGTGTTCTGTGGACCTAGGGGTAGAGATTGGAGAGGTTTAATGACCTGGGGAGAGTTGGTGACACTGGGAGTCTGGGTCTTGGCCTGGGCTTTCTGTCCCTAAAGACCCAGGATCGCCCGTGTCGTTCCTATGCCCCGTGTCACTCACCTCATTACTGTGTTTTTTTCCAGAGTCTCAGGAGTGGGAACCCTGACCCCAACCCCTCTGCATCCAGCCGGTAGGAGCCCAGTAAGTGGCCCCACCCACAGGCTGCAACCTTCCACCTGTGCAGGTCACCTCAGGTGCTGAGCCCCGGTCCCCCTCAGCACCTTGAATTTATTTGCTAATTTATTTGCAGTTGGGAGGGAGAGTCTGGAGTCTTACCAGAAGGGAGGCCTTGGTTGTGTTGGATATTCATGTCCCTCTGCTGTGGTCCCTACCACACTGGTTATTGGTTTGAGCTACTGACCTTGAGCTTAGTTGAAGGTCACAAACGGTTGTGAACTCTCACTATCCTATCCCTTGGTTCCTTTTGAGTACCCAGTCACTGAGCCATGAGTTTCGCCCTATACCTAACTGGGAGTGTGGGGTATCCCCTAAATAGAGCCTGGGAAACAAGAGCCACACTGCTACTCCACTCTGGTACCGTACTGCTGTCCAGGATAGGGGAAGGGGGGCTGTCTAGAGATGTGGGTGTTAAGGGGTGATTTGGGGAAGAACTGGTGTCCTGATTCCTCTTCCCAGCCCCCTCCTCCTGCTCCTTCTCCCCCAAAATGGAGCTGGAGGAAAAGCCCCCTGTGTGGTCAACTCCTGGATCCCTCTGTACCTGCGTGGAAGGGTGCTGAGAGGGGAAACCAGGTGTTAGAGGTGGTATGAGGCAAGCATGCATTTCATTTCCTTTCCCTGCCAGGCCACCATGGCAGAATTACAGGAGGTGCCGATCACGGAGGAGAAGCCGCTGTTGCCAGGACAGACACCGGAGGCTGCCAAGGTTACTGGAGACCCTGTGGCTTCCCTGCCTGAATCCCAGGCCTCCAAGCATCCGCCTTGCCACCTGGCTTCCCAAGCCTACAGCTCATTCTAATGCACTTCCCTGCTTTCTCCACCTCTGCCATCTGTTGTCCCATACAAGACCCTTGTCTTCTCACTACACTAACCATCCTCTCCTGTCTCTCTTTGTCAATCTGCTTCTGTCTGTGGTCTTTCTCTACCTTCCTTTCTTTGTCTGTCTGTTTCTCCCTGCGTGACTCTTTGTGGTTGTGTGCGTCTGTGTGTGTGTGTTCCTCTAGGAGGCTGAGTTAGCTGCCCGAATCCTCCTGGACCCGGGACAGGTAATGCGGGTGGGGGTCCCAGGGTGGGAGGAGTGGCTTTCTTCTCTCCCAGTATTGAGAGGGCCCCTACTTGGCTTTCTCTTCTGTCCTTTCCCCATCCCTCCACTCCCCGCTTCCCAGAGTGCTGTGATAGTCTCGTCTTTCTACTTGTCTTCCACTGTCATGTTTTTAAATTCTTGCTATGATCCTATTTTTTTTTGGCACTGGGGATCGAACTTGGGACCTTGCGCTTGTGAGGCAGGTGGTGGCACCACTGAGCCAAATCCCTGGCCCTGTGATCCTATTTTTAATTCTTCTCTTTGCCCCACGGTCACCTGGCTGACTTGTGTGGTTCTTCCTTGGTGTAACCTTTCCCTGATGGTGACTGTTTTCCTACAGACTCACTCTGTGGAGACACCTTATGGCTCTGTCACCTTTACTGTCTATGGGACCCCCAAACCCAAACGCCCAGCAATACTCACCTACCATGATGTGGGACTCAACTGTAAGAACCTTCATTTTCCCTCCCCACCTCCTTTCTGGGAAGAGGCTGGGAGGGAAAGGATAAAGCCCAGAGTCAGGGGATGGTCAGATGGGCAGGCAGGGCACGGTTAGATGCCCAGTGGCATGTCAAGGAGAAGTTCTCTCCTAAACTGACTGGTGTCAAAGCAGGAGGGTGGTTCTTGCATGTGGATACTTCGTCCTGTCTGATTCTGTTGTTGGGGTGATGTGGGTTCTCTTTAGATAAATCCTGTTTCCAGCCACTGTTTCAATTTGGGGACATGCAGGAAATTATTCAAAACTTCGTTCGGGTTCATGTGGATGCCCCTGGAATGGAAGAAGGAGCCCCTGTCTTCCCTGTGGGGTGAGAATTAGCTCTTTACCCTTCAGCAGACTTTGAGGCACAGGGCAGGTGTTGGGAAGAGGGGACCAGGGAGGAGGAAAGGGAAGGCAGTGGTGATTCTGGCAGAGGATACAGAGAGCATCTGGAGGTGTGTGTCGGGGGTCCAGGCACAGCTTGGTAGCTTCTTAACATTGCTCTCTTCCCTAGATACCAGTACCCATCTCTGGACCAGCTTGCAGACATGATCCCTTGCATCTTGCAGTACTTGAAGTGAGAGGCCTGGGGACCCTTCTAACCTAGAATTTTCTTTCCAGGATAGGAACCCCTTAGAACTCCTGTGTCCACTGTGGTTCTTGGGCTAGTTTTGGTCCCTGTGCTTGATAGTTTCGTTTTTATTGATTTATTTTTGAGACAAGGTCTTGCTATACAGTTCAGACTGGCCTTGAACTCACTCTGTGGCCCAGCTTGGCCTTGAACTCGCAGTCATCATCCTGCCTCAGCCTCCCAAGTGCTGGGAATGACAGGCACAGGGGTGTGTCACTATGCCCGGCTTGTCCTTGACATTTTCTTCCTCCATGGTTCCACCTTGAGTGTTGAAACGAAGGATGGGGGGTTTGGAAAACTGACTAGAATCAGTAAAGTAGCTGTAATAGATGGAGGGAAGGCAGAGGAAGGGTCTATGCTAGGCCGTGCTGCAGGCTGAGGACTGGTTTCTCAGATCTACAAGCTAGACAGGAAGAGGTGGTGGTGATCTAATCCTTGAGAACCAGATGGACTTGTCTCTTCCCTGCCTACTCCCCCTCCTCCAGACACACACCTGGTGAACTGGGAGCATTGTGTGTCAGGGAGAGAGGGAGAAGGAAGAGAAAGCCACGGAGGCTTTTTGGTATGATAAAGGGAGGTACTGACTGTTGGGTTCTGGGCTCACTTGGCTGTTCTTGGCTCTCAGCAGCTCTGGTTCACCTCCTTGCCTCTATTTCCTCATTCTGTTGTTCGCTAAAGATGTGTCTGTTTTCACATCTTGCGTTAAGTTCTATACTTCCTGTTCCTCTAGAAGAACTGGGAAGCAGAACAAGTTAAACTAGCACCTGAAAGGTGAGCGTGGACAAAGAGCTATGTGTATAGAAGAAGAGTCTCTGGTTGGTAGGTTAAGATAGTAGCCCTCCAAGAGGAAGCTGGGGCTGGACTTCAGGGATCTACACTGACTACCAGTGGCAACCTTTAGCACCTCGGTACCCTCCTGTTTACATAAGGAGGGTCCATTGCTGTCCTTTGTGCTTGTGGCCTGTGGAAGGAGGGTGAGAAGTTTGAAGAGATTGGGCTGTGATAGGTCTACATTTCCCTTTTATAGTTTTTCTTCAATAATTGGAGTTGGTGTTGGAGCTGGAGCCTATATCCTGTCGCGATATGCTGTAAGAAATACAAACTTCCAGATAGGGTAAAGGAGGGTCCAGGCTGAAGAGGAGAATAGTTCTTGTTAGTGTGTGTTTGGTGGGGTGCGTGGGATTGAAGAAGAAGAGATGAAAGTGAGGAGTCAGGCCCTGTGGGAGTGTGGAGGGAGAGGATAAGGCCATGCCCTCTTTCTGATCTTTCTTTTGCTGCCCCTCAGCTTACCCACCCAGACACAGTCGAAGGTCTTGTTCTCGTCAACATTGATCCCAATGCCAAGGGCTGGATGGATTGGGCAGCCCACAAGGTTTGGAGAACCCGTGTTTGAGAACTAGGGTGGGGCTTCCCTTGGGTGGTCCGGTTAGACTCTACTAGTGTAACTGAATGGACGCTGAACTTCAAGGAGGAGATGACGGGGCAGGAAAGAGAAGCTGTGTCACTTTGCCTGGGTTTCTTCTCCCCACTTTGTCCTCCACTTGCTTAGCCGCCCTTTCCTCCTAGTTAACAGGCCTTACCTCTTCCATTCCGGAGATGATCCTTGGACATCTTTTTAGCCAGGTAAGTGGTGTGGAAGATGGAAGGAGTAGAAGGACCAGCAGGGTCTTGAATGCTTGGGGTGACCTCCTTAGCTGGAATGCATCTGGGGAGGGAAGAAAGCTTGCTTCTTTTTATCCAGTAATTGTTGGCTTATCTTACCAACCCTCATTTATCTCCTCTTCTCCTTCAGGAAGAGCTGTCTGGAAATTCTGAGTTGATACAAAAGTACAGAAATATCGTTATGCATGCACCCAACCTGGACAACATTGAACTCTACTGGAACAGCTACAACAAGTGGGTGGGCTGTGTACAAGCATGTTCGAGAAATGTCGAAGGTAGAAGTGGTAACTGGGGGTGGTGGGAAGCGTAGGAGAGAGGGGTGTCTCTGGAGAACATAGTATGCGTACAGGCCAGGATTTACCATGCAACTATGGCAGCGTCAGGACAGACCCAGCAGGGAGAATCGTGAGGGACTGTCTCTTTTCTGTTTATCTCCTGTGGACTTTTAGGTTCCCGGAAGGAGGATGACCTCCTGTTCTTGCGCCTTTCCTGCCCGTCACTCCCCTCTGACCAAGGATTTAGGGCACAGCAACTGTAGTGCTCGTGCTTAGGATCTGCTTGCTGCCCTCCCTTTGGTTTCCAGTCTTTTTTTTTTTTTTGGTACCGGGGATCGAACTCGGGACCTTGTGCTTGCGGGGCAGGCGGCAGAACCACTGAGCTAAATTCCCGGCCCTTGGTTTCCATTCTTAATCACTATTATTTGAACATAAAGAAGGCAAATAGCTTCCTCACAGAGGGGTGGGGTGGGAAGGAGACCTTATATCTGAATGGATAGCATCTCCTGCCTAAAATGCCTCCTCCTTTGAACCCTTCTCTAGCCGCCGAGACCTGAACTTAGAGCGAGGTGGTGACATCACCTTCAGGTAAGACTTGAAGAGATAATGCTTTGCCCCCTCCCTGGTTCTGTCAGAGGTGCTTATATTCCTTAGAAAGTGATGGTGAGGGCCGGGGATTTAGCTCAGTGGTTTTGCCACCTGCTGCGCAAGTGCAAGGACCCGAGTTCAATCCCCGGTACCAAAAAAAAAAGAGAAAGTGATGGTGAACCTTTTAGAACTTTCGATGATAACAAAACAACCAGCTGTGGCACTCATGCCATGGGTTCGCCACCACTGTGAAGAAGAGTCCCAGCCAGGGAAATTCCCTGGCACCTCTCACTTCATTCTTTTTAGCCAGTTGCTTCTCTTTAGGTCTCCTCTCTTGAATCCTCTTGGTGGGATCTTCACAGGAAAGGAAGTCTGGTTCCTGATGTGAGACAGACATTTTCCCAGATGCTCTTCCCAGGGAGTGGGGTCTCACTGCCTTCTCCCTGACATTGTCCATCTAGGTGCCCTGTGATGCTGGTGGTAGGAGACCAAGCGCCTCATGAAGATGCAGTGGTCAGTAGGAGATTTTGGGATGGTGAGGGATGGTTGGGGTCCAAAGGTGGTGATCAGAAGGGTATCTTTGGTTTTGTTTTTGTTTTTGTTTTGGTACCGGGACTCGAACTCGGGACCTTGCACTTTCGAGGCAGGTGCCAGAACCACTGAGCTAAATCCCTGGCCCCAAGAAGAGTATCTGGCCAAGGGGCAGACTCTGGGAGAGGGAGATCAACTTTGGGACATTAAGAATTTGATTTCTGGTCAAGAGGACCTGGGTAGGGGGCTCATAGGGAAAGAGACTGTGGTCAAGGTCCCTTGCCAGGGGCACAGAGAATGTAAGCTCATCCATTCACCCTCTGTTTACTCCAGGTGGAATGTAACTCAAAACTGGACCCCACCCAGACCTCCTTCCTGAAGGTCAGTAATCCCACTCCCCGCTCATCCTGACTCCTGGCCCCTGTCCGGAGTCATATATCTCTCCAAACTCGGCTCCAAAGCCTTCAGGTTCTGCCCGAGCAAGTGGGGTGAATGAAGGAAGAAGCAAAGGGGTGGAATGAGGAAGCTAGGAAAGAGCAACATTTTTCTACCTCTTTGCATGGATCAAATGATTTATAAGTGTGTCATTTTTTCTGGGTGGCTTTCTCTGGAGCAGATGGCTGACTCTGGAGGTCAACCCCAATTAACTCAGGTGAGTACCCTGCAGGACACACACGACATTCCCATACTTCCATGACCCCGGGCTCCAGCCTGGTCTCTAACCTCACCTCCCTCTCCCTATCTTACTTCCACAGCCAGGCAAGCTGACCGAGGCCTTCAAGTACTTCCTGCAAGGCATGGGCTACAGTGAGTATGGGGAGTATCCTGAGGCTATCCTGAGGACAGGTGAGGGATGTGTACCTGGGGTAGGGGTAGAACCATTATTGGTTAATCCCTAGACTCACCACCTGCCAAATTAAGCTCTTTGACTCCCAGGCCTCCACTGCAGTTCTGGTTTCCACCCTAGCACCTTGCTCTGAGTTGCCAGCCTCCCTTCCCCACTCCTCTCTGACTGCTTGCTATCCTCCTGTCTCCACAGTGGCCTCATCCTGCATGACTCGCTTGTCAAGATCACGCACAGCCTCTCTGACCAGTGCAGCATCCATCGATGGCAACCGGTCCCGCTCCCGCACCCTGTCCCAGGGCAGCGAGTCTGGGACTCTGCCTTCAGGGCCCCCAGGGCACACCATGGAGGTCTCCTGTTAAAGTGACCCTTGTTGCTCTGGTGTGGGACCCAGCCCTCACCTCCTGCAGCACTAACCTCCGAGGTGCATAAGGGCTTTGGGTGAGAGTAAGCAGGGAAAAAGGGCAGATCACATGAGAAGATGACCTTGATCTTTGATTGCTACCCTAACCTTGACCTTTAACCTGTGATTTCCCCACTCCTGGGAGAGATGTCCTAATGTCTCTTAGGGACCCAGAGCCGTAAATTATCCCCTCTTCCATTTTGACATTACAGAGAAGGCATGTACCCGCCCTCCCTGATCCTGGTGTTGGTGGATGAAGGAATAGAGGCTGTTGTGGTTGTCATGGGGCTCCCATCAGACTCCCTCTATCCCATATATGCAAGGGAGGGGCTTGGGGCAAGGGCTCCATTCACCAAAGCTGATATGGCTTCTCTTTAACCCTTTCGGGCCCCTGAGGGAATGGGCCTAAATGTATGTGTGTGTGTGTGGGGGGGGGAGTCTTGGCAGTGGGTTCGTGGTTCTCATGATGTGATAGAAACATCCAGTGTGTAAAAAGGAAGTTGGAATGGAAGCTGGTGGGCAGTGAATGGGTATGGTGGAAGGACTGGAGCAGGGGCAGTAGGAAGAGGCCTGGGCCATTTCGCTGCACTAACTTTGGTAGCTGTCAGTCTACTTGTAGAGTGGGAAGGGGGAAGGAGCCAAGCTTGGGCCAGGCTGCTTGGGGCTTGGCAGTAGGGTGGGGAGGCCTACCCTGAGTCTCTGACCGCACTTACACGTGGTAGTGGTTTATCTCGCACAACTTCGGCTGTGACAATAAACTGTAGAGGAATCTGTGTCCCATTATTATTCTTGGTCTGAGTATACCAGCATCATGCCCTTTTCCTGCCTCTTCTTGTTTGATTCTCTTCTCAGAGTGACAAAAACCATGGCAGAGGCTTATGTAGCATAAACACTGCACAAAACAGGGCCACATTGAAACTGGCCCCCGTTCCAGAGTGGTATTATTCTTCTTGGTAGTACTTCTGAGCTTGGAGGAGAGGCGTTACATTGTAGATGACTTCCTTAGTAGTTAAAGTCATTGAAAAGGGATACAGAATTTCAAAGATACAACCAACATCATGATCTTTGAGAAGTAAAGAAGGCTGAGGGCTGGGGATTTAGCTCAGTGGCACCACGCCTGGCTTTCAAGCGCAAGGTCCCGAGTTTGATCCCTGTTACCAAAAAAAAAAAAATCCCTACCCCCCTTTCCTAGATCAGGAACTTTTGGGCTGGGGATTTAGCTCAGTGGTTCTGCCACCTGCCTCGAAAGCACAAGGTCCCGAGTTCAATTTAGTACCAAAAAAAAAACAAAACTGAAATGCCCAAGGATGTCTTGCAGGATGCTACTAGGCGCCACCTGGATTCCTCTTTCCATGGTTCAATCAGACCAGGACTCACATTATTACAGGCCTTGGGCTGCTTGTGGTCCATCCCATTCTTAAGGCTTTCAGGTGGGTCATCGCAAAACACTGTGTGTGTGTGCATGCGTGCGTGTGTGTGTGTGTGTGTTGGGGTTGTGTTCCTCTCCAGAATTATTATTCCCTCATGGAATTGGTGGGGTCTGGGAGTTAGACTATACAGGGGACCCTCAAGTTATGACAAGCCCGACATAGGAACAAGTTGGGTTATGACTGGAATTTTAGTTTTATGACCAGAGTTTTGAGTTAGGATTTGATTGCTGGATGCTTATTTTTCCAGATGGTCTCAGTTACAGATTTAACCCTTAAGGAGTTCTGAAGGAACATTACAACATCTTTCCATGTGGGGTTGAGAAATCTGGGCCAATGTCTCTAAGGACACAGATCTTCCTGTATACAGGAGAGACTTCAAAGGCTGTGTGGAGAAGTCTGAGCCTTTAATTGACTTGACTTGAGTTACAACCAGCCCTTGTGAACAAATTGTGTTCATAAGTCAAGGGGGTACTGTATTTGTAGTTTCTAAGAAGCTTTTTAGCAAACGAACAATCACCAAGAGGAAGGGGAATTCAGATATCTAACAGTTGGAGGTTGATTCTTGGGCTTTTGAAATAAAAATGGGAAAGTACTTTATAGCATTATTGGCAGGAGTGCTATGCTGGAGTATATAACACAAGGTCATTACAAGTTTGTAGAAACTCCACAGGCCATTGGACACCATCTCAGTGAAAACTAGACTGAGGACTGATGCATCTTGGTATCTAGTGGTGACACACTGATTTGTAGTGAGTCACAGGCTATATCTTGTTTTCATTTTAATTTTGTTTTTTGCAGTACTGGGAATTGAACTCAGGGTTTTGCACAAGCTAGGCAAATATTCTACCACTGAGCTACGTCCCTAGCCTTTTTTGAGACAAGGACTCATTAAGTTGTCCAGCCTGGCTTGAATTTACAATGCTCCCGCCTACTTGGGATGATAGGTGTGTGCTACCATGCTTTGCTTGTTCTTGAGTCTGCCCTCCCCCCCCACCTCAAGTGCTGGGCATCAAACGTAGGACCTTAAACATACTAAGGAAGCTTTCTACCTATAAACTACATCCCCAGCCCTGAGTCTCTTTAAATATGGTAGGCCAGGGTGAGAAAGAGGAGGGATATTGGGTGCTCAGAGGGATTATGGAGCTAGCTATTGCATGGGTATAAGGTGGCCATGTGCAGGGCAGGCAGCAGAGTGATGAAATGCCATGTAAAGAATAGAAACAGTATGGATGGCATCATTGGAGTCACGAGCTTCTAGGCAAAATACGCAAAGAACTGAAGCTAACAGCAGCCTTTACTGGCAACACTGCGGTAGTGTATTACGGAAGGCAAGGAAGGTCTTTTCAGCATATTTGCCTAACATAGGTAACACCATTAGCAGGCTAATCCTCAGAAATGGGGAGCAAATTATAGTTCTGAGTACACGTGTACGCATACTTACCACATAGGTGGTTGTGTGAAAGGGGTGGTGACTGTGTATGTTTCTCCCATAGATGTCTGCATGAGAGATCAAAGTTAGTGAAAGGAAAGATGCTGTGCTGGGAGGCAGGGATGGGGCTTTGCTGTCCTTGCCTGACCTCCCCTGTTGGTCCTAGATGTTCTCTTCTAGCCCATAGAGACACAGTGCCCTCCTGTGGCTCACAGCATGTTTAATAACTTTCTCCATTTCTCAGGTCCCTTCCTTGGTTTCCCCCAATTGTGTGTGTGTGTGTGTGTGTGGCATTGTTCTTTGTGATTCTGCCCAGTAGTAATATAGAGAGGTCCTGATACCACAGCCTGTGGCTTGTGTCCATTCTTAAGATTAGAGCTCAGGCCTGGTAGCAGGGTGTGGGGAGGTGAACCACACACTTCCTCCTTTTTTTCTCTGCTTCAGGTTCAGAACTCCTATTTATCTTTCCTCCATTCCTAAGGAATGTGAGTACTTCTCACAGGGACAGAGGCTTAAGGTAGCTAGAAGAATATTCAATGGGAAAAATAAAATGAATAGATTGAAGAGTCTTATTGTTTCAGCTTGAAAATTCTGGATCTCATAAAGATTTTCAAGGGCAACTGTCTGAAGGTACAGTCATAATGGCATTTGTTCAACATATAAGACAGTAATTCTGTAAGATTCTATTGCTTAACAATCTTATAGCTTTGTTAGTTTGTGAAAACACATTCTATAATGCTCACACAATGACAAAATCATTTAATGATGCATTCTTTAGAACCTTTTCTCCATTAAACAATATATGACTACCACAAAACAATAAAACTATAGTGGGAGGGATGGATGTTAAACTTTGCAGAGTAATTTAATAGGAAAAATGTCGAAGTGGGAGACACCACTTTGCTAGAGAGATTTTAGGATTACCTGGAAAATGAGAATCAGTTCTGATGAAAGGCCAGAGGTGGTGCTCAGAGCGAAGTAATTTATTTATACTCATTCTTTTCATTAACGTTGGAATTTTTCTGAAGTTAGATAAACGTACAGTAAAAGTAGAATGCATTCTGTATTGGACATTCAATAAATCTAAAGACAATGACTGAAGACACAATTAAAATTTAAAAATGTAATCTATGATTGGTATTTGTATAAGCATAGCCACAGAGCCACGCTGAGGGTTCCATTCCTCTCTGCACACCATTTGCTTCACATGTGCTGGTGGCAGTGCACACCCCACTCAGGTGCTGTGGGTGTCTGGGTGAGTGCCACACCCATGCATGCCAACCCACTCACGTTCTGGCAGCTGTTCTCGGTCAGAACAGAGTCTAGAGCATTTCCTGCTATGAAGGATTTCCTGTTGTGAGGGTGTGAGGGAGGCAGAACCCTCCGAAACTGTCCTTTATGATGGGCCATGCGGCACCAGTGGTCTCAGGAGAGTTAGTCTGGAGCTTTGTTTTTTGTTCCCATCTCTTATGAGATGTATCTCAATCCTGTATGTTGATTTCAGACTTTGTCCCATGCCTCTGCATATTCCCTAAACTCTGGTTTCTCTTGGACATGATTCCCCATCTTTCTTAATAAATTGTTCTCCTTGGGCCGGGGATTTAGCTCAGTGGTTTTGTTGCCTGCTGAGCAAGCGCCAAGGACCTGAGTTTGATCCCTGGTACCAAAATAAATAAATAAATAAATAAAATAAAATTAAAAAATAAATTGTTCTCCTACAACTGCAATATCCAAACCAAAACCTCAGTTTGAGAGCAAAGGAAAGTGGGGCGTTCCAAAGGGTGACATCAGAGAATAATTTATTGGTGGCAGAAGTGGAAAGCCTGTCCCTAGGAAGGAAGGCAGTTGCAGGCCTTGTTCTGTTTTCTTCCTAAATATATAAAAATTCAAGCACGGAAGAAGATGGATGGGGAAGAATGACAGTGTTTGAGATGTGAAAATTGTCCCACATAAATTCTCTCCAGATTATCCCAGCTAGCTTCCCTTTGTCTTTTTTTCCATTCTGCATATCTTCCCCCATTCTGATTTTTTAAAAACTCTCATCATTCTAGTTATCATCTGTTATGATCTATCTCTTAAGGCTTAGTGAATCAAAGCTCACTCCTGCAATCGGCACCACACTAGGCTCTCCTTTCTGTCCTGTGGTTCTTATGCCTATTCCTACTCCAGCCTTCTTGTTTTTATCACATTTCACCTTCTGTTCCCTTGTAGCCTTCTCTGGCTCCTCGTTGGAAGTTTATGGCTTTTGAAAATGTTCACAATATTGTTTCTTTTTCCTGATATTCGCCCCTAATATTTTCTATCTGGAGTCACTCTCTAGCTTTATTCCAGCTCGTGATATAATATGATTCAAACTAAAGATGATTCTAGGCTTAGTTGGTAAGAATTTTGGGGAAAGAAAATGAAACAGACTTGGGGAGGAAGGAAAGCATTGATGGCTAAATGCAGAGGAGTCTAATGGGGAATGAATCCAAGGCTCTTGGGATTGAAGAAGGCAAAAAGTGCATGGTTCATCTGTGCTTAAAATATCTCAGCCTCCATCTCATTTATTTCAAATGCTGATAGCATTAGTGACCCAGAAACACACGGGGGAGAGCCTTGATAGTCTAACGTACTTCTGTCTTTTTAATGTAGTCTTAAAAACTTCTGTCCTGGAAATAGCTCTGTAGTCTCCATATGATCTGTTCCTTTCTTTTTTTTGAGACAGGGTCTCACTATGTAGTTCAGGCTGCCCTTGAACTCACTATGAAGCCCAGGCTGTCTTTGAACTCATGACAATCCTTCTGACTCAGTCTCCCAAGTGTTGGGATTACAGGCGTGTGCCACCATACCTGGCAATCATGTTCCTTTCTTTCTTTCTTTCTTTTTTTTTTTTTGGTACCGGGGATCAAATTTGGGTCCTTGTGCTTTCGAGGCAGGCGGCGGAACCACTGAGCCAAATCCCTGGCCCAATACCAGTATGCTGACCTATTTATTCTGTTTTGTTTTGGTTTTTGGTACCTGGGATCCAATTCAGGACCTTGTGCTTGTGCGGCAGGCGCCTGAACCACTGAGCTAAATCCCCAGCCCTTCATGTTCCTTTCAATCCATTCCTGGGAAAGCCCTGACAAGATCATGTACATCGAAAGTAGTAGAGAATGCAGGCATGGGAGCGCACACCTATAACCCCAGCAGTTGAGAGGCTGAGGCAGGAGGATTGCTGAGTGCAAGGTCAGCCTGGGCTACATAGTGAGTTCAAGGCCAGCCTAAACTATACAGTGAGACCGTGTCCCAAGAAACCCAAACCAACAAAAAAAGACAGTGGCAGAGAACAGTCGTGCCCCATGAGGTTGGCCTGTCTGCAGCACACCAACAGACTTTTCTGTCCCCTGGCTTCTTGGGTTTCCCTGTAAGACCTGGCAGTGGATCAAAGAACAGGAGAGGGAGGTTATTTCCTGCTGTCCTTGTTGGGTCCCTGTGGTTGGTTGTATCCCTACATCCTCTCCAGTTTCTGTTAACCTCTCCTCTCTCTTCACTAGAGGTAACAGTGTTGTTTATACACAGCCCCCAGGGTACTGCATCATCATTTCTTGCCTTGTCAAAATCTTGTACACGCCTTACAAACCCTCCCTTTATCAACGTGCCTCAATTATCTCATGTATGACTGTCTTCTTTTGGGATCCTAACATATAGAATGGGAGATGGGGTGGGGGTTAAAGCTAAGGAAGGAGAAGAGAATCTGTATATTGAGCACTAAAGAGTCATAGAGACATGAATTTGAAGTCCAGAGAGCTATGTGATCCAATTGTTTAACTTTTCTGAATGCCAGTTTCCTCAGACATACTAGAGAGACAATATTTACCTATCAAGAGTTGTGAAAATGAGGTACTAAACACAAAAGCAACAGTACAGTGTCTGGCAAGTAGCAGTGCTCTTGTAGAACTGTGTTGTATTACTACACACCTGGCACTGTTCTGAGTGTATCACACGTGCCTGCATTTAATACTCAGGAAAAAACACAACAAGGGGGCACTGTAGAGAAA